ATTGTAGTGCGTATTTAATATTGCGCTGCACTCTGATGTTGTAGGAGAAAACATTTATTAAAACGTCTATTTAATTAAGTAGAACGTGTTGTCTATATTTGTTTAAAGTTGCGCATTTTGATGTGACGTTACATTTCTCACCCCCCCCCCCCCCCTCGTCACACATCGTCACAAATGTCTGACCCCCTCCCTCCCCTAGGTGCGTGACGTCATTTATGGACGGCCCCTTATTTTATCATACTTCACCAGGCTGGTTAACAAAGATAGAGGCATGGGTGTGCAATGGACTTTTCGTCGCTTTAAGATGTCCTGTGTTCATATTTTGTTTGTTGCGTTTGCACCCGATTTAAGAGCCGCATGGCTCCCAGGGCTATACCTAATAAATGAACTTGAACTTGAAGCATGGCTAACAGGGCTATACCTAATAAATGAAACTTGAAAAAAAAAACTTGCACTGCCCTCTGCTGCCCACAACATAGCGTGGCCACACAGCATCGTGACAACCTTCCATTGTGGTCACCTAGAAAGCATGACCCACGATCAACGTTGCCTAGCGATTGATGTATTTGGCCATAGGCATCGTAATTAACTGCAACCTTATTATGCTGTATGTAAAATGTATCCCAATTCGTAAGAAATATCAATCTATATTTGATCAGCTGAAACGTAGATGTAATCGGGTCAGTTTGGAGACCATTAAACCGGAACTATTACATACTCTTTGGTTTTTTCGGTAAGTCACGTAGGTAAAAAATAAAATAAATGAAAACAACTAAATTAAATCACGACGTTTCGGGCGCAACACAAGCGTCCGTTATCAGACTGCATCAGCAATATGAATCATTGCAGTCACGAAAGCTTCACATCTGAACTATCCACCCATTGTATACATCCTGATCACAGGGTGATCCAGATGTATTGTGATCCCCAATTAATTGACCCCTAACATTATTTTTCCCTTTGCGTATTCATTTCTGTTTTAACATAATCTTACATAAAAAAAATATACTGAGTTTTACATAGTTAAATAGGGGTCATAATACACCTATACCACCATGTAGTGTATTTTAAGCCTGGGCAATGATTTATGACAAAATGTGCAATCAGACTGGCGCTTAGATACATCTTTCCGGTTCTTGGCTCATCATGATAAGCAGCACGCCATCGTGACCTTTGGCAAAAGTTGCGCCTGCATATTTCTGAACTCATGGGGGGTGGCAGGAGGAGCATAATACCCGCACTGTACAATATGTTTCAGGTGAATGGATATTAAATATTGATAGTTAGCAAATCGTGGAAAAAATGTTGTGCCCTGCCTGGGGCTAAAACAGAAAGAAACCCACAAACTGGATAGTTGACTCGCCCAGCTGAAACCCCTTCATTCACTTATCCTCCCCACGTTCATGCTCTTGCTATACCATACGTGGAAGTTTAATAATCTACACTATAGCAGTTATTTTTGAAAGATACAATCTCATGGAAAGGAAGTATGATTAACTAGATTACCAGGTTGCGTGGCTTCTTGTAACCACGGTTGTTTGTGAATTGTTGGGATGAATGCTGTATACACAGGGTGGGCAATAAATACCTGACACATTTATATTTAACATCGAAAGAGCAGCTTCATAGAAAATTCGAATATTTTTTATATCATGCAAAACTACAGCTTCAAGAGAATACATTAGCTGATTATATTATAATATCGAAGTCTTAAAAAATGCCTTTAAAAAACCCACCATTTCCATGTATGTACAGGGTGGTCCAGATGTATTGTGACCCCAAAATGTATGCCCCCCGAACATTTTTTTCCCCTTTGCATATAAATTTATGTTTTAAATAAAACTTACTTCAAAAATATTAAGAGCATTAATTTGGGGTCACAATACATCTGAACCACTCTGTATGTTCAACTACTTTCGCACCGTACGTAGCCAACCGTGCTAATCGGAGGTGCAGCGGGGTGGGGGTGGGCACAAAAAGATAAACACAAAATAAGTTCTAAAGACATGAGTTTGTCTGGTAGACAGTTTATTTAGTATACCAACACGAAAAGTAACCGGGCGTCGTTAAGTCCGGACTTCTAGCTGGCGATGGGACATCTTCCAAATCGTGAAATTAGATCATGTGGGAACTTTAGGGATGACATTGATGCATGATCCCTGCTCGCTCGATATTTGTCCACTCTTCCATCTTATACAAGGGTCATTTATGTCCTGAAGTTAAATTATACATGACTTTAAAATGGTATTTCTCACCCACCCTGTATGAACAGCAAATTATTTATTTAATGTTACTCTTGTTTACCCAGAGAAAACCTCCAATAATCTATTGCCAAAAGGGTCCTACCAGGTTAGGGGGGGCGTGGGGGCGATGATTGCTAACCCCCCCGCCCCCCCCCCCCGAGTAATTTGCAGGTACTGTGTTTTTTTCTCGTTGGGGGTAGGCGGGAGGTTGCTTTAAACTAGAGAACTGGACATCTGTGAATACTGGACATGTGTTAAAAAAAGAGAGCCGTGTCGCTCATCGGATTCCTCCAGTAAAAATCTAATTCTGAACTCGGCGGAAATTGATGCCCTAAAAGCCACATAACAGCTAAACCAGATCAATCATTAACACTACTTTATAACCAAAAAACTACATATCTTACGCATACGTGTTGTTTTTGCACCATTGGAACCTCCTTTGCCAGTAGCAAAATATTGATAATTGTTTTTTTACCCTTTTTATCTGGCAACAAAAGCAATTATCAATGTTGTTTTTGGTTTATTATTTGGGCCCTTGACTTCTGGAATTGTCATGTTCAATACCAAATGCAGCGTAAACCTTTATGTTATATTATTCCAATATTGTAAATATTTATCAAATTATTATTGGCAGATGTCTCGGTTTTAATAGATTATTTTTGTTTCCGTCATATGCAAGGAAAATTCGTATTTCCTGAATAAAAAAAAGTTATGACGTCCAGCTTAGCATGTGACGTCACATTGCACAGACTGACGTCACAAAGGCTTGTGCTGAGCAAGCTTTTTAAGGGGCCGTCCATAAATGACGTCACGCACCTAGGGGGGGGGGGTCAGGCATTTGTGACGATGGGGGGGGGGGGGTTGAGAAATGTCACATCAAAATGTGCAACTTTAAATAAATATTAGACAACACGTTCTACCTAATTAAATAGACGTTTTAATAAATGTTTTCTCCTACAACATCAGAGTGCAGCGCCACATTAAATACGCACTACAATGACAATAGTTTAAAGAAATTTGAAGCATTTTTTTTATTGGGGGGGGGGGGGGCAGAGGTTTGTGACGTCATATTTGAGGGGGGGGTCTGACTTTTTGTGACGCCGTGTGAGAAAGGGGGGGGGGGGTCAAAAATCATCCAAAATCGCATGACGTCATTGATGGACGGCCCCTAAATACAATTAACAGCGATTGCAGAAAAGCTTAAAATAAACTTTATACAATGTCAATAAAGTTTCGTGGCTCCGGCCTGTGGAATTTCTGCCATCCATTTGTTTGTGATTAGCTTATAAAAAAATATAAAAGTTGGTAGGTTTTTAGACAATATAATCAAATGACCAATAGATTCTAGATTTGAAGCTTTCATGACTGCAAGGATTCATATTCTTAGTTTTTTTTCGGTAAAGTCACGTAGGTAAAACATCAAAATAAAATAAAATAATTTTATTTTATTTTTATTAATTTTGATGTTTTACCTACGTGACTTTACCGAAAAAACCTAAGAATATGACCAATAGAATTACCATTGTGTCACCATTGACCAATCAGGCGAGCCGTGACATATATTGACCACTATGACGTATTTGTAACAGCTTCTCTCATTGGTCTCCTTGCGGGTTACGTCATCCCCTGATGTGGGTCGTGTGTTTTACATTCTCCTATCCACCCAGTGTTGCTAGATCTGGAGGTTTTATCCTCCGCATATATAAGTTAACGTTTTCAATTATTTTTAATAGAACGTGCATGCTTTTTGTAAATACTCCATGTTTTCAAATTTGGTTTAAAACAAGGCACAACAATGACCAATCTATTAGCTTGGAAAAGTATTAAATTAAGAATCAGAATCTTTATTTAGACTGGAGGAATCCGATTTAGCTATACATCTTCTAGAGGTTTACTTCAAAACAACCCCCTCTGTCAAATGTCTCAACACATTTAATTTTCACAATGGGAAGGTTGCATAACCTACACGTTCAGCGGTGAAATCTAAAAAAAATCCCTTTGAATTGGCAACTTGTAACGAAATACGAGTCATCTTCTTGGTTGTTTCGGTAAAGTCACGTAGAAGGGAAATAATAAAATAATAATAAAACATAATAAAATATAAAAAAAATACAATAAAAAATAATAAAAATACAACATAATAAAATATAATAAAAATATATATATATAATAAAAAAGAAATACGAGAACCGCTTCGACTTTCTAAGCGTTTTGATTGGCTACCGCTCAAAACGTGCGCGTTCAGAGGGATTTGTGGAGCTTTTCGACTTCGAGGCGGAGTTATGTAAATGAGGGGGGCGGGGCTTACACAGATGTGGGCGTGGCTACTCGCACGGGCGGGGGCCTTCCACGCGGTAAGAGCGAGGCCCAGTGGGGTGACGTCACGTAGAGGGGCGGGGCTAGAATGAGAGTGGGCCTGGCATGCGCATAAAGGGGCGGGGCTCACCAGATGAAGGGGCGGGGCTTACACATAGCGGGGCGAGGCTTACATATAGAGGGGCGGGGCTTACATATAGAGGGGCGGGGTTTGCATATAGAGGGGCGGGGCTTACATATAGAGGGGCGGGGCTTACATATAGAGGGGCGGGGCTTACATATAGAGGGGCGGGGCTTGCATATAGAGGGGACGGGGCTTGCAAATAGAGGGGCGGGTCTTACATATAGAGGGGCGGGGCTTACATATAGAGGGGCGGGGCTTACATATAGAGGGGCGGGGCTTAGTGTTGGTGGGCGTGGCTTGATCTGGCTGGGCGGAGCTGGCCGTCCTGGGCCCCCGTCCATTGTCAAAGGCAGTGGCGGCGATCGGTCTTCATTCACTTTTGCCGGAATTAAAAACCTTTTTTTCTTATATTTTTTTGCAAAGCTGACCCTAATGACATTCTACAAATGAATGTGGAGGCCGACATCGTTCCGTGTGCGGTGAGAATTGCAATCTTTTACCGGTTGTTGTTATATTTTTTATGCAATCGGCAATCTCATGTGATCCCTGCCTCCCCTCTGTCCGCTGCCGTCATTTAAAGCCCTCTCTCTCCTCTCGCTCTTTGTGTAGCTCAGTTCGTACGGGCAGATGTCCTCAACCACACTGTGGTTGCATACGGCCACGCGGTTGTACAATTCTCTACAATACTATGAACAGCCTGAAGATTCTGTTGCAATACGTGTCTGTAAATGGGGGTTTTTAATGACTGCTATCCGGAGATGTGGCTATTTTTCTGGTACGCGTTGTACCCTGCAAATGGATCGACCTTGACTGGTCCTAATTGTGTCAGACGAGGATGCCTCGTGGCTAATGCCTTCTTGGCACAGGATTGGTAACAACGTGCATCTCCTATCGCGTGTGTGAATGCAGCGTGTTGTCATGTAATGTGCGCAATTCTGGTACATCTTGGGTGTGTTGGTGCAGCATTGTGTGCAGATGTGTTGTGTCGGTGCGTTCGCTTTGTTCGGCGGTTCAAACATATTCACGAGATTTAACATTTTACGGGGATTGTCCCTGTTAAAATTCGGTGCTGCCGTTGGGCATGTGGGGCATTTCGCTTCATTCATTCGACGGTTTTCAGGTTTATATGAGACATTGCTGTACATTAATGTTTTTTTTAGATTGTTTTTCCTTCCTTTCGCATTTCTAATCATTTATTCGAAGTGTAGCATTTCCATTTGGCGAATTGACTTTCAGATCCCAAGGATGCAGCACTTACAACACGATTTCTTCCATGCAGTGTGGTATTACTGGTCATAATCTGGAAACAGGTTAATTGGAAATGTAATATAACCCCAAAACAATGTATCTGGAGTCTCCCTCCAACCCTGCTTACTTTGTGCCAAATGGGCCACTAAGTGAGACGAGCGTGATGTGTAAAGTAATGTACAGTAGCCTACTGTAAATCCCCCTCTGTACATGTGGCACATCATAAGCCTGCATGAACGCACAGATAGAGCCAAGGGGATTGCACATGGTGTATCATTCTGCGCTCTGCTGAATGTTGCAGGTCCAGTAAAGTGTGTTTGTCAAGAGGCCCCCAATAATACCCTTTGAGGCATTCGAGACTGTGACAAGGCAGTCGGGAGAAAGAGTTGCTGTGTATGGCAGCGGCATCAGATGTGATGATGGATGGATGTTCTCTCGCAGGCGGCAGGGGGTGTGTGATGATGGCATCTGGAGCGAAGCGTGGAAAAGGAAGGACGAGACAAACCTTGAAATCTGTGCCAATTTCAGAAACAGAGAAATGCAAGTTTCCCCGTCTTACTATTGCCAAGGATGACAAGATTATGAAGGCAAGCAATACCTCTTAATGTTATATATATGCATTTATCGGGGCGATGATGTGTGGGCAGCAGATGACCATAATTGTTTGATCCCACAACTTTGTTCCTCCATCGCCTACACCAATCCACACGGACCAGCACCGTGAAGTTTGAGAAAATAACCCCCATGACCTTTACGGTGTGGAGAGGCCATCATCCAGCAGTGGATTGACAAAACACTGTAAAGAACATGGACATTTTCAAGTAAAGGAATATGTTGTACTTATGATATGTGGTCGTCACGTGTTTTACAATCCAAGTCTATTGCTTTCAAATTTAAATGAACATGCCTCGTTTACAAATCTTACATTTATCAAGCCTTTCTACCAAAACAAAGGTATCTGATTACAATTCAAATATACATTTCTACAACAACATATAAACATTACTAACATAATGCCTGAATTCTCTATGCCTGCAGATTTCTCATTCTCCATATGAAGACAAACTCAACTTAAAGGAAAAAAAGCGGTAAGAACAAATTTTACCTTCACGAATTTCTGAGTTTTACATTTGTCGTAAACTATTTGTTGTAAAGCTTATGTGTACTGTTTTGTTGTTTTGCAGTAAAACAATCAAAGGTTTGAATATAATCAAGGGTTCACCATCTTCCCTGGTGCAACCTACATTGGGAAAAACATATAGAGGTAAGAATATTGGTGCTTTTTTATAGTGGTGCCTATGTTATGAGCAAAACTCTCCTCATATATTATGCTAGTGATTGAAATCGTTTTAAAAAGGAATGTGGTAGATGCATTCCTAAAAAGTGGTGCGTTAAGTGATACATTTCTGGACTGAATCACATTTGCACAATAAAATCAGTCTGCAATCATCCCTTGGTGGGATAAAAAAACTGAGATGAGGATACGCCGAGTACTGTATCGTTCCGCGTACTGTAAGATAGTGCGCAGCTTAGGAAAGTAGTTGACTGCTCAGAAACTGTTAGAATAGACGCGTTCAACGTTATGCAAAAAGTGTTCCTTCATAGAAGAACTTTTATAGAAAAACTCGTATGCAAACGCGTTAAGCGAGGCTTAATCGTACATACAGAGGATGCCGGTTCAATCACCCACCACGTGCATTTACAAAAGTGTTGTTAAAATCCCCTGCCCTTGTCCATCCAGGAGTATAAATGAGTACACGAAAGTTGGACGACAGGTCGCGTTTGGTGGGGTAAAGTCGAGATACTCGCCCCTTTTACAAGTGTGGAAGAGTAGGACAAATTTCCTCTAGATGGGCTCTTAAGGTCCCACGAATGGAGGCCTTTGTGCTAGTAGTGGTTTGAGCAAGAAACTGTAGGGCTGCAACTTTACCTGTTATGTATGTATGTTTGACTTATTTCGCACCGTACATAGCCAACCTTCCTAATCGGAGGTGCGATAAGTGATGTCGAAGTAACAGCTCTTTTACAGAAAAATTGTGGACAGGTTATTCACAAGTGTTAACAAGTCCGGAGTTTTTGCAGTAACAAGTTACCAATTGTTATCAGACAAATAGGGCTGTATTATCTGAAGGATCCCGCATACTTTCCTAGAATGTGCAAAGATTGCACTTTCTTTTCTCCTCTTCCTCCTGCTCACAGTGGTGAAATTGAAGCACGGTCCATACAGAGACCACATTGAAGGAGCGTGCCTGGAGCCCGTGTTAGAGCTGAAGAATTCACCTGTTCAGGAGACTGATTTCGACTCGGACTGGTCGATGGCTGAAAAAGAGAACGAGATCTCCCACGCGTCGGCCAGCAGTGGCGGCAGCAGTGGTGAAGGGCGTACGTTTGCGCCCCATGACGGGCTGGCTAACAACGTCGCGGATGGGCACTTGTGGCCTGTAATTGGTAGAGCGTGCCTGTCGGATGTGACAGCTGAGAGAAGCAGAGCATTGGAGCAATATATCATTGAAGAGGTGAGTGCGCAGCTCAAAACATGGCAATCAAGATCAGGTCACACTCATTTCAAAAACGTCTACGGTGATGTGTATGTATTGTGATAAAGTTGTGTTTCAAATCCTAGTTTGTCACCTCCGCAACATGCTAAACATTTTTTTAAGAAATATGTTTGATTGCCTGTACAGTAAAACCTTGGATTGTGAGCATAATTCGTTCCGGAAACGTGTTTGTAATCCAAAGCACTCGTATATCAGTTGTGATCATGTGACGCTTGGCAGACAAAGCGTAGACACGTACTACTCGTATTGCAAGACCTCGCTAGTTTATTAAATTAATATTTATTTTAAAAAAAAATTGCTCATCTTGCAAAACACTCGCAGACCAAGTTACTCGCAATACAAGCTTTTACTGTATTAATTCACAACATAAAACACTGTAGGCAACTGCCCCTATGTAATGCTGGTATACGAAAAGAAATTGTCACGATAAAACTGGTCTTGTAAAATGTTTGTCTTATTTTTTATTGAGCATTTTTACAATGACCCTCAAAAAGGTGTTTATTTCCTTAAAGCGTAAACTTGTTATCATTTTTCGTTTCCCAGATAACTCAGGAACATGAAGACATGATGCAGGTTCTCTCTGACTACCAGCTCAAACTAGATGCAGCTTTAACCTTCTGGAAACGCAACCCTGCTGACTTGGTCTCTTATCTCTTTAGGTGGGCACGTATATCAGCTGGATATCAGCATTCAGAACTTTAAAAAAAACAATATCCTAAGCTCTTTGAAAGGTATGCATTCATCATTGCAAATGCTATTAACACATGCCTCGATTTCTCCACAGGGTACGTGACTTGAGCGTAGCTGCTAATTGCATCGGAATCATAACGAAAAGGTGATGACATCCCATAATTAACATTATCTTAAAACTGACCTGAGTGAATGCTTGATAAGACGATGCTTTGTTTCCATATAATATGGACATACAATGTAAATATTTTACAGTAGATTTGGAGCAATTTCTGGCAGTGATTCGATGAGTTGTCACAATTCATTGCATCTTATTATTTGTATTATACAACAGTGACTGCTACCACCTCTAGTTGCTGCAGGGGCGACATGAACCCATGACATACAATTTTTGTTCATAAAATAAATGTTTATTATTATACAGGTCCTTTGATGTATAATCTTAAGCTAATTGATCTATATGAATCGCAGTGTTCCCACCCCTACTTCGTAGTGAATAACGCTGGTTTATACTGTTTTACAATTTTTCCCATACTAAAAATATCTCAAGTAGTCTTGGCCATTTTTGTTAAAGCACTTGTTGAAAATATTTCGGGAAGCTATTTTTCAAACATCTTCGAATTGTGCATTTTTATAAGCCTAAACAGAGAGTTGTTGAATGCATATTGAGATTATAATAATAATGCATTAAAGTTCTGTCGGTGGGCCTTCTAAATGTGCAGTGCTGTGCATTTGTATCCTTGCTAGCCTGAAAGAGAACAGAGAACTACAGCCGCTGGGAGCCTGTGTGGAGCTGTTACCACTGATTGACGCCCTTCTCAACAGCAGATATGAACAGTAAGCTCCGTATAATCTACTTTCTTCTTTTTATTATGATTCAAACTGGTAACCCGAGCTTGTACATGTACAGCCCATTAATCCACTGCTGGATTAGTCAATCCACTACCCACACCATGAAGGTCGTTGGGGTTGTTTGACCATACCTCATCACACTGGTCTTGGGAAGCATAGACTTTGGGGCATAGTACAGTACAATAATTGGGTTTGTTTCATTGTCCTCTGCTGGCAACATAACCCCCGGCTGCTTAAAATACCTGTTTTGTGCATGATGGTCACCCATACATGTGCTATTCAGGCTTAGATTCAGATCTTACGAGACTGGGCACATTCCGGATGATAGGTCATAGGCAAAAACACAATATAGTGTCATAACTCAAAGCCTGACAAACCACACCTTTACCAGTCGCTGATCGTGCCCAGTCAGTCAGCTTCGAGCTTCATACCTTGAAATATTTTTTGAGAGTTTTCAAGTGTCACCATTCCTTAAGCTACTTCATCATGCATGTTTACAATTGTGTCAAGGTTTAAAGATATTAGAACATTGATTTTAGGAAATGTTTCCATAAATTGCACATCATTAAAACCTTTCATAGCTTCGGACAATGATTTTTGTGCAAATTGACAAAATATTGTGATTATCACTGGAGAGTAAATCTATATTCATACATAACTCAGTAAAATTGTAAGGGTGCACACACTAAATTTATTAAAATGATGCATATAACAATGTTTTGTCACATTTTTCACAAACTGATTTTTTGTTACAAAGTAATGAAACCACCTAAGTGATCCTAAACACGAGGTCAGGGGGGTAGTTGTCATCAGCTGCACTTGAAATGAGTCCCCGACTTAGCCCTCTGCTTGCAAGGATCAATAGAACCTGCCAATACTCGTCGTTTCACCAAGAGTGTTGCTACTGATAATAGTTTTTTTACCCTTCTATCTGGCAACAAAACTGACACCTTTATTACAAGGAGTCATGTTTGCATAGACCACAATACCTGCAGCCATAATGCAAACAAAAAACATACTGATAATATATGCACAGTGCAAAAAACATAACTCTGGTAATATATGCACAGTGCATATATATTATCAGAGTTATGTTTTATGTTTGCATTATGGCTGCAGGTATTGTGGTCTATGCAAACATGACTCCTTGTAAAAAAGGTGTCAGTTTTGTTGCCAGATAGAAGGGTAAAAAACAATTATTATATTTTTTACTGGCAAATGAGGTTCCAATGGTGTAAGTTCTGCTACTGTTCTCTTTGCAGCTACAACCTCACTGCCCTGGAGTGGCTCGAGGCTGTCCTTAAGCAGTGGAAGACAGTGCTGTCTGTAGATACCAATGTGAGGGACAACCAAGTGTATTTTGATGAAAGGTATGACAATGGTTATGTATGCGCTATTTGCTTTACTCAGGATTGCCACTAAATATGGTTATGTCTATGTTTACTGGCAACTGTTGGATTATTTTTGTTAGAAATATGTCTTTGTCACTGAACAAACATGGCCAGTCATTGTTTTACTCCGACAAACTACAGGTCTGTCACCCACTGATAAAATAGTGTGTATACAAACAATGCTTCAGCATTGCACGGCATGTAGAACTACTGCACATGTGAGCTGGATAAACGTAAGCCCATCCGTTGCCCTTTGTTGAATTAACAGTCTGGCTGCAGAAATAGCACCAGGAATGTGTAAGTGGCTTTAATAGGCTTAATTCCATGAGGCTTAAACCAAACAGTTAAATTCATTTGGGGACATGGACCAAATAATCTGTGTCCCCTAATAGGCTTTTATAAATCTACTCAACTCTGTTCGGAAACTGATTTCCCTCCACACCGTCATTGTACATTTTGAGCTAAGCTTACCGGTCTCCTTCATTCGCAGATGCATATTAGATAGTGTGCATTGCACCTCCGATTAGAACAGTTGGCTACGTATGGTGTGAAAAGTTCCGTATGCATACACGCATCTGCTCAGTGGCAAATGCTGAATCCTTAAATTGCAGTGATCATTTAGGATCAAATTCAAGAACACCTTTCATAAATAGATGCCTCGTTCAGAATTATTTTGGGATGCCACCAATATATGTTTTCTTTAAGATATGTCGCTCTTAATTTTGTTACGAAAATCGAATACTTTAATTTTTGTCTGCTATGCAGGAATGCCTTGCACTTGCGAGAGTGGCTCCACACGATGACAGAACAAGTGGATAAACTTGCTTCCTTACCTGGTGACACGGGCAAGGCAGCCAAGGTGAGCTCGCTGATTTGAATTTTGTAGGTTTTTTACACGCTTTCATTTAACTCACTCAGTCTGTTGTTGTTGTAACTCAATTTAACACACTTCCCAATGTGGTATCGACTGCAAACTTGGCATACTTATGTCATATTGATGACAATACTATATTTTATCATAATTTTTAAACATTTTTTTTATATACTATGTTTCGGCTTGGGTATAATTGTCCACGGTCAACTGACGTTAGCTGTAATTGGCCCAGTCCCTTACATTATGGCAAGCTTCGGGGCCACTTCCTGGAGTCGTGGAGTTCTTCCATTACTAATACATTTCATAAAAGCGTGTTTTTAAAGAAGGTTTTTTTGAATATTACATTTTTATTTATGTCCACTTCACTGCTCCTGGTGACTGCAACGTCCCTGCTTGAAGTTCTGGAGTTGAAACTTCTCACTTGTTAACAAAGTAGAATGCATAAAATATATATATTTGGATACATCACTAAATATTAATTCATTTTATACCAACTTTGGAAAATGATGACTGTATTTGACCGCACATAAAAAAAAATTACGGCTAGTAGTATTATAAAGACTTAGAGTGCAATTAGAGTTTTATTTCGTACAAGTCAAGCCCTGCTCATGCTTCCATAACTCATTATGGGTTGAGATGGCAATTCCTGCAAGCATGTTTTCCTAAGCGTGATTTTATTTTCTTCGAGGTATTTGCCAAAGGGTAGGTTGTTAGCTCAAGTTAATTCCATCTTATCCAGTTTTTCACTTCCCTCTTCATGTCATGATATAGATTCTGATACTGCATATCCTTTTCTACCTTGTAACTTTTTTCCCCAAAATTCTTTAGTATAGAGCTTCCTTTTAGCACTGCCTTCACTCCACGGTGGTGAGATGTTAACTACCTAACCTGGTATACAGGAGGCCGTGGGTTCGATCCCGACCCTGATGCCTGTATGTTTGGAGTTTGCATGTTCTCCCCATGGACGCGTGCATTTTTCTCCGGATCTTCTAGTTTTTCTGTCCATAATTAGAAACGTGGGTTTAGAGTATTGGGCTGCTAGAAATTTCCACATGATCAGCCACTTCGTTGAGCTATCATTTGTGTCCAGGTCCCTTCTGAAAAAGAGCTATATAGCTGAGTGGGCCTTACCTGGTAAAATTAACAAAAAACTTTTGTTATAAAATTCCCAATTCAGTTTTTGCCAACGTTTTATTGGTCCAATTAAACTACTCTTCGCATGAACCTACTCTTGCACGTTTTTCATTCTTTTATGTCCAGCTGATATTCTCCATTCAAAACATCCCATGTGTCTGATGCTTCCTTGTCTTTGCTGACAACACTATTCCATGCACATCCATCTTATAGGCAACAGCTTCTTTTAGTATGCTCATCCTTTTAAGTTTTACAGATGTATTTTTGGGACAGGAGGGATGAGAGTTGTGAAATGCAGTTAGTCTTCCTGTTGTGAAAAGGACACTTGGCCTCAGTTACCCAAATCTATTGTGATTCTATGGTAATTAAATTAGTTTATTGAACATAAGTAAATGCTATTCATCCATGAGAATACATTGATATATTTTTAAAGAATATTCGTGACAAATCCTTCTACGAGACACTATATTGCGTGTACAATTTTCTAGAACAGTTGCTGAAACTAAATCACGAGTGTTTTATTGGTTTTGCTTGAAATGAAAAGTTGTAACCACAACTGCCAAGCATTCATGAAACATGTTCTCTTTTCTTCACCAGGAAATATTTACTTCTCTAAAAGAAGAGCTCTGAAAATGTTGCACAGGTAAAGGGCCACCTTAGACCACACTACTGGTGAGCCTGAATTTTATGAGCAGTATACTGAGCTTTCAAGACTTATTTTTAGATCCTGCAATCAAAAATAATTTTTAATTTTCAGAGTGCTTGAGTCTCAACCACTGGATAAGTTACGGGTGGCCTGAGAGAGAGTCAGGGTTCAAGTTACGTGGCTGTCCACCGACAGAAAATTTACCTGTGTCCAAATTTATAATGCTAAAACAAGCCATCACAAGCACTTAACTGCTTCATATTGAAGTGTTTAATGCAAAAAACCACGTTTACTGTATTGTTTAAAAATTACATTCGCTGTACAACCTGTTTTTTAGTTCGCACTTTTTCTCATAATCGTTACTTGTTTAGGCTTATCTAAATCCATGCTCCAGTATCATTACATTCCAGTGTGGTGTTTGAACATGACTGTGTGGTTGGATGTGTGTTTCTTCATAATGTAAGGCCCTTTTTCTTGATCCACATGCAAGCAAAGTTGCACCAGTAGGATGGATATGGAGACTTGGTACAGTGTATGCTCTTTGTCAATATAAATAAAATCAGCCAAACTTACATTTTTATTTATTATTTGCTCTTATTGTAAATGATTCCTGTTTGAAGACTGGTTCTAGTTTTCTCTTTACATTGCCATATTTGAACTTTGCTTCCCAAGAACTACTAAAAAGTGTTTCTAGACAGACAAAATTAGCTTTTTGAAACTAGTAACAATATAAATGGTACCTGTTGGAATATATTTCTTACTGCATTGATGTGTAGGTGTTGTGCATGGTAGTGAAGTGTAAATGTTTCTTAATAATTAATAAAATATTTTGTGAATGTTGAATTATTTATGCATTTGTGTTGTGCTTATATGGCTTGTACAATACTGTATATAAAATGGAATATTTAAACAAAATCAATGACTCATACTTTCTGAGGAGATATTCTTTTACCAACTTCATATGCATCTATTTTCCATTCATGTCAATTCTAACGCTCACAATGCAATGGCAGCCCAAGGAATGACTATTTAGCCATAGCAATGCCTGGTCAGCAAATATTTGCGCTGCATTGTAATGTTTGAACAGAAGCTTCGTTTCATCTGCTGTTTGAATATGGAACTACCTCCCTGAACACACCGATTATGGTCTCCAGGCCTTCAAATTCCGAACTTTACCACACGCCTTGTCGGAGTGAGTCTTTGAGCTGCAGTGAACCAATGATTATGCCGATTCGTTGCATTAACGTCTGATATGGCTGTTGTTCCCAATTGCATAAAACAAAAAAAGATAAATATGGTGTAATGTGGCATATCCAACTCGCTGGAAACTGAGATACAGGTGGATATGTGAAAAGGTCAGATATGTGAGCCTCTATAGAAATGACAGATCATCACAAATGTTCTGTATAAAAATAAAGAACTGATTTAGATGGAGGGAATGCTCTATACTGCTCTGGAAGTAAGCAAATGTACATGAGATTTAATAATTAATCACTTTATGTGAAAGGTAGGTGTTGTGAACATCTTTAGAACATTACTTTTAAACCAATTACATCTTATTCAATTGCCTTTTCCTTGAACAACGCAAAACTGCATTTTCCTTGTGGAAGAGACCCCATGTCGCCCTCTATTGGAAACGTTGGGCCTTGTAAGTCAACATTGTTATAGTGGCATAATCCATGCTTGGCACCGATTGGGAAAGTTGGCTGTCAGCGGTTGTTTGCAACTTTAAACCCAGGAATTATTTTCCCAACTTTTTGGGTTGCCACTCTCTAAACATAACAAGAGTTAAAAGTCGGGATTCTGTCCTATTCCTGCATTATAACCTGCAACCAGCATTAAGTGTGGCAGCATTTGGCAAGTGGAGGTGGCTAAATGATATGGCAACAGTAAGTTGCGGGCATGGCCATCACTATCTGCTAACCACAAACCCTATAACATTTTATTTTGCACTTATTTGGTCTAAATGCCACAGCAGTATTAACGGTTGGTTTGGGTGCCATGTGACAAACATTCTCTCTTCCAGGTTGGGTGGATGTATTGCCCTTTGTTTTGTTTAAGATATAACTGTCGATGAAGAATACTTCGTGATATTTATTTCTGCAGAGGATGCCGTTGTGATGTAATGGACTTGTGATTTAGAGGCTGCTGGTTCGATTCAATCTCCTAGTGTGGCATTTGAACGCACGGGCAAGTTTCTTAAATCCGCCCCCACCTCAGTCCCCACACAGCAGTATAAATGGATACACCAGTTTGTCGACCACAAATATGCGTGTGGTGGGGTAATAATGCGGGTACTTATTCCAAAATAAAATATATGGCCAGTGTGGATGTGCCAAACACCCTCTTGAGCGCCCTCAAATGGAGGCCTTTCTACCAGGAGTGGCGCAAGCAAGGACATTAAGTGCTGCACGTTTCCCTTCCACTGGCTATTCTTGAACAGGGGATTTGCTATGCAAGTTAAGAATGGATTCTATGTATTGTCGTAAACACCCATAGCACAGTTGGAAGAAAATGGCTTCTACTTTCCTGTCCAAAGTAATTTTTTTTAGGATGGGGGGGGGGGATCTGATATCTATTGCACACCCCTCTACTTGACATCTGTAGAAAATATACAGATTGCTCCGAATCTGAAAAGTTGGGGAAATAGCTCCCTCCCCCACCTCCCCTGTGACTCAGCCTGTATCAACATTTAGTTATGCATTTTACAACAATTGGACTTTGAAGTGATCTCGGAAAAAACGAATTGTACTCTTGTACAGAGGTAATCATAAAATGCTTTGCCAGCAGTATCTCGCTGGCTGGGTGTGTGATATCCCCAGGGTTGTGCTTGAATTGCTTCGAATGCGGGGTGGTTTGTACCTCGTCGAAATACAGTGCATTCCAGTGGTTGATATAATTCGGACACGCCTAGCAGCAGCTGATGAATAAGTACTGCGATTCGTTGAGATATTTGGTAATGACCAATAAAACACTTTTTTTATTTCAAATCCTTGTCAGAGAGTCTTTATTGGTCTCTCATATGCAAAGATCACATCAAGCGCTATATGAGAAAATAAAACCCCTTTGAAATGGCAAGGTTAATTTTTACAACGTGTGAGTCAAGCTTATTAGCCTGTGGAGGCTTTTCCATTCAGTGGAAGAAAAAAAACAATAGGACGTTCAATAGACTGCCTAAGGAAAATATGCCGCGGGGTGAGTGATTGTAATGAGTGAATGTTATATACAGTAGACTTGAACAGAGCCCTTTTGATGTGATGGTCGCGTATGGTTGGAGGTGATGACTTTGGGACCTGAGGATTCTTCTACAAGGTGGATCAGGTGCCTTGAGAACCCCAACTGACCCCTAACATTTTTGCCCTTTGCATATTAATTTCTGTTTCAAATAAACTTTTACAAATATTACGTTTTAGACAATCAAATGAATATCACGAGACATCTGGACAACTCTGTACATCGTGGTACATCAGGTCGAGATGGTCTAGGTAATGACTGGTTAATTGACAGGCCTTGACCAACTGTATGGCTGATGTATTTCAAAAAAACCCGGTTGGCTTGCTAAGTAACCACCCCAGGCTTCTTTCCGAAAAGGACTTGCACCTAAACAATGGCGTTTAAAACGGTGTTAATGTTTGCAACAGACAATCCCTGTTTGCTCAGCTGCTGCTGCAACAGAAATGTAAACCCAGGTGTGCACTTACCTGAATAAAAAAAACAAAGTGGAAACAAAGACTGTACATGTTTCCAAGTAATAATGTACCGGCAATAGGTGAAAGTGTGAGTCAAACACGAATAGCAATGAATGAGTTTTGTGTTGCTTGGCTAGAACCGACTCCCTGTCTGCAATACTGGGCCTTGAGGTTAAGTGAAAAGAACATCAAATCCTACCTGATCATAAACTTCCTTCACATGTGCAACTATTAACTAAGAACACTGCCACTCAACAGTAAGAATATTCATTTTATTCAAATAATGTACACACAATTTACATGTTAATAAAGCAGAGTTTAAAGTAACAGGGGTTTGAACATGTTTACCATTAATATTCAGGTGGTTAGCAAGTACGTATTCACATTTAAATCGGAACTTTAAAAAGATTATTGTAAAGAAGTGTAAAATATAATTTTAGCATTTGAAAATGTTAATTGGTAATTGTACATAAGCATGTTAGTGATTTAAAGTTGATAAAATAGTTTTCACGTTGACCATTAAATAGTGTTTTTTGCCTTGGAAAAAATGGCTCAAAACATTTAAATAATGTACTCAATTTCGTTGATTGTTTTGTAAAAAAAATGGCTCCTTGTGTATCAATATAAAAGAATGTTGCTGAAGTGGAATTGAGTTCATGCAATGGCTTACTAATTCTAAATATTTATCATGAGTCGTGATATCTTGTTCCCAGAAGGATGCTACTTCAGTAGCTTTGTTGCATTCTGGTTGGATTGATTAATTCGAGATGTGTTCAGCTCCGCCTGCAAGGAAATGTCAAAGTTCAACCATCATTAGTTGTCATGTTCATCAAGCAGTATTTAGGATTGTATAATGAATTTGGACCAGTGCTACCCATCCATATATGTTTTGTTTCATGGCCCAGCAGATGCCATCACCACACTCCAGCATCTAATATTGTAACATGTCATAAAACAGAATAACTGGCATACATGCCAATAATAATATCAATGGCAATAATGTACCTGGGAAAGTTTCACCGAGTCTCTGCATTTGGATGTTTGACTAAGACCACAAATTAGTGTTTTGCATGTGGGAGCAAACAGGAGTAACTAAAGAAATCGACAATACAAGTTGATACTTTGCACTGCCATTTTCTGGCCAAACCTGGCGTCACCTATCCAAGTACGAACCATGATCATCGCTTCAAATAGCTTATGAACTCTGATGTGACCAGCACAAGCGTTTCACTAGGCCTGCATCAATTGACACCCTTTGCGCTTCAATAAATTTTCCAAATTGGGATCATGACTCAATTTAAATTTTTTTTTACATTTTTTGGGGCCGTTAGCTGTAATGGGGCCATGTGAACCTGTTGCATACATGGTATACAAAAACATTCTTATATACATGATTGAATACATGTACTGAGAATAAGAATCGATTGTCAGCAAATCGACAGCATTATACCTTTACACATGTTAATGTACTGTAACAATATTAATAAATTAAAAAATAAATGTTCATGGAAAATGCTATTGATACATGCTAGGCTAGTATCAAAACAGTACATTGATTCATCAATTGAAGGCAGGGGTTCAAGGGTGCACCAATAACTGATTCAGATATCACCAGCCACAGATGTTAGCCGTGGTCGAGAATCGAACTTGTGTTATCGGATTAATTGTGCAGTGTGCGGCCCGCTGGAGCATTCTCGCTCCTATAATTGTCAATTGTACTTTAATGCCTTTGGACTATGTGATAGATCCTTGAGATATATAATTTATGTTTGCGCAGCCAAACGTCCATTATTAATGGCATGTGCTGATGTTACGTGTTCTGAAGTTCTGCTGCTCCTCACCTTTTCATTCAGCCGTTCAAGCTGTGTATTCTGCTGGTCTAGCTCGTTGCCCATATTCAGAGCCATGTCTTTGAGATTCCCTATAATACCACCGATTTCTTGCAGGTTCCCCTCCATCTCATCCTCACGGTCATCATTGGTAATCCTGTAGGAGACAAGCAGGAGAGACGGGCCACAGTGACACAACCGTCAGGCAATAGCACCTGTAAGAAAACACTGCTAGCATCAGTACATTTATTTTACGTAACTTAATTTCACTATTTTTGGCTGAAGAGGCTCCCAGTATGTGGAACAAAATGTTGGACATCTGGTATAACCCTAAATAACTATCAAGTACTTTTTATGCATGTGCATTTTTTAAAGTCTGTTGCCATTTAAAGTGACTGAATGTTGGCCAATATAGGCACGGTTTCAATTCTGAAACAAGCCACACATTAAACCCCCCCACATCTCACTGTTGTCAAGTCCAGAATATAATTTACTGTGGATACAGAACATACAAAGTCACGTAGATATGGTCAATAGATATCCATGGCTCGCAAAGCCTGTTCTACCCAAATATTGTTGGTGAATGCTCATGTACAGCCCCTGTAAATCCACTTGGATGAAAGCTTACTTAAGCCTTGTCTGTCATGGGGGTTACTTGACCAAGTACACATAGCCTGGCACAAGCGCCATGGTAACGTCGCCACCACTTAGTGGCGAATGTCGGCTGTTGTTGTTGACGATACTTCACACTGGTTAGTGCGAGTTGGTGAAAGTGGAAAGCATAGAGGTTCCAACATTAAACAGTCCATTGGATTTTGCTTTACTGCCGTCTGTTGACAATGTAGCCTCGCAGCAGCCAACAATACATTATTTTGCATAATGGTCACCTATCCAATCACTATCCAGGCTCAACTCTACTGGATATTATTTCGATGGGCAAACATCATGGATGGTGGTAAAAATACGACGTGTCAAAAAACCAGAGAATAGTTGCTTGAACATTTTTCAATTGACAGCACTGAGTTGACTTGGCTTTGAATTGACCAATTCCTGGTTCACCCACAATCTCAGTAGTAACTGACCAGGTGGCTCAGCCGGAGAGCAAGCAGCTCGCAATCTTAAGGTTTTTCCACCATTGGAACCTCATTTGCCAGTAAAAAATATGATAATTGGATAATTGGTGTAAATGCTTACCCCGAGCTCTCATACTCTGATGGTGCATTGTCTTTGAGTTGTGCGCCTTTTGGCGTCATCTGGTCCAACCCATGTGAGACTAGGCTCTAAGGAAAGCTGTCTCGGGTGTGGACCAATCAACTTCAAGGATAGTGCACATTATCAGAGTTGTGTTCTTTGTTTGCATTTTGACTGCAAGTATTGTGGTCTATGCAAACATGACTCCTTGTAAAAAAGGTGTCAGTTTTGTTGCCAGATATAAGGGTAAAAAAACAATTATCAATCTTAATGTTGTGAGTTCAAATCTTGGTGGGGGGGGGGGGGAGATAATCAGCCCATCATACCTACGGGGTGTAAATTATAAAAATAAGTACCACTGTGGGGAAGTCAACAGTGGTTGCCCTAGGGATACTCATCCCCGCCATGGGAAATGTGGAATTTCCACCATTGGCTGAGGGCTGTTAACAAGAGAGAAGCACACCCTTTATGCTCATTTGAGCAGGAATTAACGGTTATACAATCACATTTGCACACCTTTTGATGAAAGGTCCACTGGCTTGAGGCTGGCCTTGTTGGCCTGCCTTGCCCGGTTGCTCAGAGACCACCTTTTCCTTCCGTATGGAGCCCCACACCGCCGGCTTGTAAGCACCTTTGTTGTCTATGCTCTTCATCCTGCGCATATCAAAGTAAGGTCTATTCGCTTCTCATAAGCACCGCCTAACAACTGCAGTGCATGGCTTACAATTGTAAAACATGAAGTGACTACAAAGGAGAATCTGCATAATTAGTGTGCAACAGTAAACATTTTAGTGGGTTAAAGAAAATGCATCATGAAAACAATGAAATGCTTAAACTTAAACAATTGCAATTACAGAAATATATTGAAGGCTAACAATGCCGATTTTAAACGATCACGCTTGAAACAGTTGTTAGATGGGCACTGAAGAAGAACTCACTCACTTGTTGCATGGGCAGATGCACAGTCCACAGCATTTTGACATCTGTCTAATGTGTTTCTCAGCCTCCTTCATGTCTTCATTTATATGATCCAAGCCCTGTTCAATTTTATCCAGTTGGTCCTGAAATATCAATATTAAATCAATTGAATAGAGACCGTGAACATGTTAATGAATGTGCATACATTGTACAATACTGTGCCTTAAATAGAAAGTTTTCAACCTAGGAATATTATCTGCCATAACATACAGATTGTAAACATGGACTCTGAAAAAGAACTTGGAGCAAAAGCTAAAACTTATGCAAATAAGCACGGAGAGACAGAAAGAAGAAGACGTGAACAACCACAAATTTGTTTCGATTTAAAGCTTTCGTACCTGCAGGAATTCATCTTCTTGGTTCTTTCGGTAAAGTCACGTAGAAGGGAAGTAATGAAATAATAATTATTATGTTTTATTTTTATTATTTTATTACTTCCCTTCTACGTGACTTTACCGAAAGAACCAAGAAGATGAACCACACATTTACTTTATATCGACTCTTAAGAAAAGCAAGCATGGGTGGGACACATTGCAAGAGGGGATGATGGCCAATGGACGAGAATAGTGATGGAATGGTAGCCAAAAGAGAAAATGAAGCCGAGAGGAAGACCTCCGTGAAGATGAATAGATGAAATCTGCTCATGCGTGAGGGTGAAATGGATTCTGGCATCATGGGACTGAAGGATGACAGCATGGAAAGACCTTGATCTGCTGGTTTATAGAACATGTATGATGAAGACTATGATGTTGTTACATGTTTAAACTTGATTCACACAGTATAAAAAAGCAAGTGGTATAGCTGCTGCTTGGAATCGTGGCATGATTTTAAGCAGATGGTCTTTCTTGAATATGGTGCCTATGCACTATTCAAAGACACAGTACCTCCTTGCTCATTCAGCATAACAAGTGTTTTAGCCCCAGTTTCTTGAGTCTGAAAAAAAGAAAGTTTATTGTAACCTTAAAAATTAGATGCATAAATTGCCTGTATTGATTAACCAACGTTTTTTAAGAACATAAATTATCACTCAATAGTTAATTTAAAGATTACAACATGCAATAACAATAAAGATGCTGCCAAAGAAATTACATTTAAATTTAGCTCATGTAATTATTTACAGTGTTTGAACTTGCATCAATAACACACATACTAAACTTGAATCTTTTTCTAAAATGTAATTCTTTAGCGGAGACACATCAAGAGTATTTTTTTAAATGAATTAATCGCGCATTAAAAGTCACTGGTCTATTTACATGGGCCGCAAGTACTGAGCACTGATGAATGGCTATTATACATAGGTTTATCTCTAAAGTACGGCAAACAATATAAAGTTTTTAATGCAAGTGCTAAATGTAATGTAATGGTGAGAATATTCCAACACTAAAGTATGTTTGAACATAAAATGCAGGAATCAATCACACAAACCATTTGGTGTGAAATGTCTTGATAAAATTAGAATACACTTGAAATGGTTCACCTTATATTTATCACGAAACTAAAAAACTAGTCGACATACAAATAATACATCATTTAGTGCCAAGAACTTAGTTCGTTGAATGGCTATGTAAATAGTCAGTGTAATCTAGTTACCACAATGTATGCCAATATGATTAATAATGTTTTTTAACATATTTTAATGAAATGCCTTTTACCTCAACCGCCATATTCCGCATCCGACGAGTAGCCTCCAATGACTGCAAAGAGAACACATTTAATGTAAAAAAAAAAATTGGGGTGGGAAACGAATTATGAATGCTGCACTGAAGGGACTTTATCAAAAGAAAACATTGATGCAATGAAAACTGCCTCTATGATAATGCGGTGATTTCGTTGCATTTACAATGACAAGTAACTGTGGGTGGGTAGATGTTGAGGCAGCGTTCAATGAAATTACATTCACATCTAAAAATATATTTGCTGCAAATATCGTTTGTTGCACCTCCAGGGAAATGTTATCTATCACTTATCGTTGTCAGCTATCAGCTACTCATCCGGTGCCAAGACTAATATAATGTAAATCTATTAAAGCGTATTGTCGTATCTGATATGCGAGTGACAAGACCACCCAGCAAAGTCATTAGTTACCAATGGAAGATATGGGGCCTAACCCAGCACTTAATAGAGAACACAAGCATACCGTCATATAATTTTACATCACAAAACATTGAAATGTGTTTCCCTGCATTCACTAACAATGTATTCTCCACAAAGCTCATGATTATTTTGTGTTAAATACTGTCATTTTTTGGCCCTTGTGCTTTTTTGCATTTATAATATCTTGGCGATGTATTTTCTTACAAAATGTACTTTAGTATATTACAGAATATACTTAAGACCAGAATCACATAACCCACTATGAACTATAGACAAAAACAAATGTCACTAAAATTGACATAACCTGGGAACCAAAGTAGAGTACTGTAGTCAAATTCCTCCATGAATGTGAAGGGGAGCACGATTGGTGAATCAAAATTGTGTTTATCCAAGATATTACTGCTGTTATCTGTGTGGCTATTGCTGAATAATAGGATACACGTCATCACTTTCAAGTCACTCCTCTTATCCACAGAAAGCCACGGTTAATATGAGAGACATTTGGGACTTCTGAGAGAACAATTCTGGCGAATTGCCCGATGATGTTGGATGTAATTACCAGCGAAACGTCATACTCAAAACTGTAAATGTTGTGGATTCACTCTTCAACACACCGGTGGGCTAAAGTAGTGAACTATTGTGTTTTGTCAACGTGACACTTTTTTGCTGATTGGCCGTGTCGGGTGGTGGAGAGTGACGACACATTTATAAATAACGCGATCTAACCCAAAAACTTTTATTATGAATATTATGAAGAACAATTCTGGTTACTTTTTATGAGCGGATAATATGATTTTCTGCAGATCATATCAGGAGTTCAGATAATAGGAACATTAAACAGGGGCACAGAAAAGACAAGTTTCACTGTACTGTATTGTAATAAGTAAAAACCAGAACTCAAAAGTTTCCCGCATGGCTGTACAACTGTGAACTTTGATGCACTATGCTGACGTACCTCATCGGTGATTTGGTTGGCTTTCACTTGTATGTTATACGAATCCTCATCCATGGTGGCTCAGAGGGTCTGAATTAATGGAACAAAGAAATGCACAGCGCGGATGTTCATCAATGCATTTTGAGTTAGTTTCAAAGCCCGAGGGGTGTGTGCAGCTGAACTTAAAATCTCAGTGTTGCTTTCCTCTCAGCTTTCCCCAATTCACTGCCTCCCATTGCAGACTTTAGCTCCAGTATACTTGACTAAACGATGTAGTTGTACCACCACAAAAATTTACGTTTGTTCCCACTGGCTGATAAACTCATTGGAATTAATATTGGTCTGGAAAGCCATTAGGCTGATAGACTAAAACATGTTTTTATTCGCATAGTTGTTCACAACAACGCATAACAAGTTTGTAAACAATAATGCCATTTAACTGATCACCTCCGTTGATGTCTGGAAATGAAACTACTATATCATCTACTCTGCCAACAGTTTAATTTTACGTCCTGAAATAGCCACTCACGTGGTTGTGAGATATGGCACAGGCTTGGGGAGTCGTTTAAAAGTGAATTGATCGTGGCTAATGATGGTGATAAAACGCCAACCGAGATCCCATGCGGCTGTCATTTTAACACATTTACGATAAACAGCGAGTAAGACAGATGGGGAGTTATTATTGTACCTGAGGACAAATGTTCCCCACCATAACGGTCTGAGTTGATTTCCATTCGGTGCAATGTTATCGAACCCCTACCCATTCAAATGTCCACACTTGACATGACCAAGTACTGTTACAGGCATTGGAAATGAACGCAGTTGTCTGCGATGGTGATATATAGGTCACAAGCCCCAAATATGTGGGCTCGGACCAATAGACATGTGAACAAGCTGGTTGCTGCTCTGAGTGCTAAAGTCACATGATACATTAGCACACAAATAACAATGGGACACTGCACTGCCTTAACACATTCCTGCGGGGGGAGCTGGTAGGAACGTTGGGTTGCTCGGTCAATGGCCAGGGTCAACGGCGGCGTGGTGTATTCCGCAAATATTCCCGACTGTGAGGGCGGACACAAGCCGGCGTGAGTAGGTTAAACATTGAGTTTTATAAGGGCACCACGGGGGTGACCAGCCCCTCCCCACCCAGCCCCACCCCTCCCACCCAGCCCCTCCCCACCCTCCCCACCCAGCCCCTCCCTGCACGACTGACGGACGGACACAATAATCCCCTGTGGGCTGGTGTAACCAGGAGGTTCCTACCAGTATTGAAACTTTCCCCTCCACGATGCGGGACTACATTCACATTTTATTAATTTAATTTGCATGTACAATGTGCACGTACAGTATAGTTTTTTACATCAAGGGGATTGTTCCACATTCACCTTGCTTGTGATCAGCACACGTTGATAGAGATCGGGAGCATAAATGTAAAAGCATAGAAGCACTGTCCAATAAAACATTGTCATTTTATGCACTGCCCCACAGCATAGCCCCTGACATACCCGTTGTGTATGGTGGTGGCCCATATAAGAACTTATCGGGCTCAAATGCTGCTTCAGTTTTTGAGATTTTACGATATTGGATGCATTATGGGCAATTTGACAAGAGGTCAAGAGGTCAACAACAATACCAGGGTGGTCCAGATGTCTCGTGACCCCCATTTAATAATCTAAAACTTTCTCTGTTTTTATGGATGCCAATTGGGTGAGAAAACAAATGTCCAGGGTCAATTAATTGGAGGTCACAAGACATCTGGACTACCCTGTACACTGCATGCTCATAATGTAGTATTGATGATAGATTTGATGCGTGTCTTTTTTAAATTGAGTTCTTCTTAAGCTTTTAACACCAAGGCAGCTACAAAAAAATGTGTTTGTAGTCGACACTGCTCTGGTGTAGACAAAGGGGGCTGTTTGGTTACTGTATGTTTCCTGCTGATCTTATAGTGCTGCCTCGACACAAGTTTTCCCAACACCCCGCAAGGGTTTCAGCTGCTTCCTGCCAAAGCCTTCTTCCCTTCCCCCTCACCCCACTCCCAGCCACTTCATTCATTAACCACGTGGGGGGCAACGATGTTAAACTTCAGAAATGGAACCTTTTTGCCAGTATCAAAAGTATGAAAAAAGTAGGTGGTTAATGCGGACACGATTCCTTGCAAATGGTTTTATTCGGTGTTTCAAGATGTTAATAACACCTCTTTGATGTGAAACTTTTAAGCGTCGAAAATGGGGGAGAAAAAATGTAGCGACGTAACAATGCATCGATGCATCTGCTGCTGTTGAGTCTAAGCATTGCATTCATAATTATTCATCATTAATTTTACAGTAATCGATGTTTTTTTAGATTCGTAGCATAATTCGGTGGCGACCCCTGCGGCCACTAGAGGCGCTGTCATTCACTGCAATGTTAAACTTTATTGTGTTGTGATCGAAACGTCGTGGTTTTTGTTTTTTATTTACTGAAAGAACCAAGAATGTCTACATTATAGACTGCCAGTACACTCACCCAGCTTAATAACCAGGCTACAGTTTACATTATAGACTGCCAGTACAGTCACTCCGATTAAGAACCAGGCTACAGTCTACATTAGTGTTTTTTTGATTTTTATTATTAAATGTTTATTATTTTTATTCACTTTATTATTTTTCTATCTACGTGACTTTACCGAAAACACCAAAGAATGTGAATTCCTGCAGTCACGAAAGTTTTAAGTCAAAAGTTAAACGATGACAGTACCGTATTTTAAAGCGCAAATTGTGGTGACAAATCGTGGTGCGTTGTGATCATCAACCAAGATCTATCCACTGCTGAATAAACGACTGCTAAAACCACCACGAATCATAATACTGTCTACTCTATGGGTTTGTAACTACACATTACTCTAGTGCTGGCCTGTGTTTCAAGTTAGAGGCAATATTAAGAGAGTAAAACACCTTTATAATCCTGTTAAGTAAACAAAGGTTGTGTTTATAAATCGTAGCTGCCGTCGAGAAATGTACAGCGCTGCATTGTAATGTTACGTTGATACTTTAAATTAACCACGTCTGTACAACAATTAAAATAATTGGGGGGGGGGGGGGTTAACACAGCACTGTCGTGTTATATTTTTGTTCATTTTTAACAACGGACTGGCAGGAAAAGTCATCTTAGTGATCGGCTCCATTGAACGACCAAATAAGTAATATTTTAAAAAACTTTTTTTAAAAACACGCTTTAATTAAATGTACCCTACTAGTAATGGAAAAACTCCACGACTCTATGAAGTGGCCCCGAAGCTTGCCATAACGTAAGGGACCGTGGACAATTAGACTCAAGGCGAAATATAACATCTAAAAAATTACGTTAAAAAATATTTATTTTTATATTTAATGATAGAATATAGTATTGTCATCAGTATGACATAAGTTTACCAAGTTTGCAGTCGATAAGACATTGGGAAGTGGTTTAAAATTTAGTTACAAGATTTGAGGATACAACAGACAGAATGAGTTTATCAAAAGCGTGTAAAAGAATGTTTTAAAATGTTTTAGATTTTTTTATGATATAATATAATCTCGTCATCAGTATGACATAAGTATACCAAGTTTGCACATTGGGAAGTGGTTTAAAATTGAGTTACAAGATTTGAGGATACAACAACAGAGTTAATAGAAATCGTGTAATAAAAATCAACAATGCTGGGATTGCTCCCACGGGGTGGCACGGGGGTTTCGTTTTTTCTTCTTCCATCCACCGCCTTCCCTCTGCCACATTTAGCAAATCCAATCGTGGAACTTTAAAACATTTGTTGGCTATTCCCAATGTCGCTGCGTTGGTCACGCTTAATGAACAAACAAACAACAATCGAACAGGACACACACTCGTCCAGAACACCCTGGTCCTGCAGAGTAAAACAAGACGACGTTTCGGGGCAATAGCCCTTCTCCATAGCGGGGTGTTTACGCAAATTCGAGCCTATAAATGTAAGGAAGCAGGGTTATGTTTTTTTGTGTTCAAGTTCAAGTTCATTTATTAGGTATAACCCTGTGAGCCATTCAGCTCTTGAATCGGGTGCAACCGCAACAAACCAAAAACATGAACAAAAAACATCTTAAAGTGAATATGTGACTAAGTGTGTAAGTCTTGTACAAACCCCAACCTTTCTCTGGAGTCCATGCCCTGAACGAGGAAGTGGTTGTTAGGATTTTTTTATTTCTTTGCAATGCAGTACCGCATGTAAGTGTAGCACTCAATTCGCACACGGCAATTGTGATATTTTAAAGGGTTTGTTTTGCATTAAGAGACAGCGAAAGCGACGGGGGAGGGGGGGGGGCAGTGCTAACAGCTGTCGTTTTGGTTGTAGCAGTCTAAAACAAAACCTTGACAAATATGCGAGGCATGTGTTCAGCATTTACCAATGATTTTTTTATACACAGTGCGTGTACTGTAGTATGATTTACGGTCATTTATACCCTTATCAGTTGGTACACTAGTAACCCATGATGTCCACATTGTTCTAGCGCTTACGAGTGTAAATACAGCGAGCATTATTGTTGTGTGGTCTTGTTACCAACACAATACAGTGGAGTAAGCATGCAAATCGTTCCTCAACTTAGCTCGTAAACGCAGTAAAAACCCCGACTTTTCTGCTAATCATCAACCAACCAATTTGTTGCTGATTGGGTGAATTATTAATTACATCGCAGTCCCAAGAGGGATGGTGAACGGCTTCGTGGAAGCTTTCATCCACGCAGTGGATTGTTCAAAAGCCACTCACTGATCATGATGATCATGATGATCATGATGATGATGATGATCATGATGATGATGATCATGATGATGATGATCATGATGATGATCATGATGATGATGATCATGATGATGATGATCATGATGATGATGATCATGATGATGATGATCATGATGATGATGATCATGATGATGATGATCATGAAATGAAACAAAGTTCAGACACTACTACTCTTACACGACTGGTATTCATTCTCGCCCTTAACACGCAGCCCATGCGTTACAACGCCACAAGGCACGGCAGCTGTTGAAGCAGCTGAAACTTTCATCACCACCAACCAGTTACACGTTCTTCTCTTGCCTATCTTTCTTCTCTTGCCTTTCTTTAACACCATCCGTGCCGCTGCCACACACACACTTCTTGTCTGACATTTCCCTACACTCATACATATACAAACAAGCGCGCACACCCTGCCCTGTTTAACGTCCGTAGGAAGGTTCAAAAAGCCACTCAACTTACCTTATTTTCTTTATTACGAAGAAGTTGCACGGTTAAGCCGTGTTTTTTTTCATTAAAAACCTCCTCGGGAATGGCGAGTAGCGGCAGAACGTCGTCTTGATGACTTAACACCGTAGAATGTGGAAGTTGTCGATGACTACGACGACCTAAGTAGCTGAGCCGGCGAGCGCGCACAGCCCACGGGAAAAGGGGGTGGCCGCCACCGTCCGAGGCACAGGAATTGTGTCAATGGGTGTGGGGGGGAGGAAGAGAAGAGATTACGCAGAAGCAAACAATAAAACCAAGTTGGAAATTCATCTTCTTGGTTCTTTCGGTAAAGTCACGTAGAAGGAAAGTAAAACAATAATAAAAATAAAAAATGTTTTTTTAAATTATTTTTATTATTTTATTACTTCCCTTCTACGTGACTTTACTGAAAGAACCAAGAAGATGAATCCCTGCAGTCACGAAAGCTTTAAATCGAAATTTAAGTTGGAAATTCCTGTGGCACACGCAACAAGGAAGAAACGCGTTGGTATGTTTTTTTTAACATAGCCGTCAATTCATGGAGGAATACCATGAGCCATGAAGCTCTTTTTCACAGATGTCCAGTCAACTAAACTCATTTTTTGACCACTTAAGGTCCACCGAACTCTAAAGCTCTTAATTCTAGATTAGAAGCTTTCGTGACTGCAAGGATTCATGCTCTGTTTTTTTCGGTAAGGTCATGTAGGTAAAAAAATTAATAATCACAACGTCGTGATTTAATTGAGTTGTTTTCATTATTTTGTTTTATTAATTGTTTTACCTACGTGACTTTACCGAAAAAAACAATATCTATAGCTCTTCTTGGTTCTTTCGGTAAAGTCACGGAGAAGGGAAATAATAAAATAATAAAAATAAAACCATAAAATAACATTCTCACGACGTTTCGGCCACAACACAAGCAGCCGTCCTCGGGTTCTATTGGGACGCTGTCTTTCCGACAGCCCTGTTCTTCACCTGAGGACGGCTGCTTGTGTTGTGGCCGAAACGTCGTGAGAATTTTATTTTATTAAATTTTATTTTAAATATTTTATTATTATTTTATTTTAATTATTTCCCTTCTACGTGACTTTACCGAAAGAACCAAGAAGATGAATCCCTGCAGTCACGAAAGCTTTAAATTGAAATATCTATAGCTCTTGTTTTTCAGAAGCAACACCCGGCCACAAATGATGAACCCATCGAAGTTGCTTTTCACGTGGATATGTATAGCAGCCGAATACTTATAAATGCACAGCTGTCAACCCCATAGGGTTTACCCCGTATTCTTGTACAGGGAATTTGAGTGTTGAGGTCCATACGGCGTACAGCCGTTTCAATAGAGGCAAAATAAAATTTTGTGTATATTTGTTGTGTTTCTCTCTTGTGATGGGACTTTGTAGGAAAAACGTTGAGATGTATAAGGGGCACGGGGTGACCACTAAGGTCTGAATTGGTCTGTAGTAAGACAGGCACTGATGTTTAAATTAACAACACGATTCAGTAACAACACGTTCTGGATCATAATTTTGCCCTTCCGTCTTCTGCTGGGAAAATACCAAACACATATTTTGGTTGTCTTCGATGTCGTTGTAAATGATGCGTTTGCATCTCCGCACGATTTAATAGAATTGTGATGTTTTGCTTCAGTTTCTGTTCGTGAATTATGGCTTACGTTGAAGAAGTGCAATGCAATGTGGAAGTTCCGGTTATTAATATTACTCAACCAGTTTTTTATTATTGTTGTACTCACAGCCTGTGGTCACTTACTAATTACATCTGGAAAACAGCGGTACACTATTTGTGTGACTGTTCCCGATAGGCTTGATAATCATCAGCCCTTGATCTGTCCACTGCTGGATGGCGGCCTACCCCACAAGCAGTCGTCACTTGATAACCCACTTCGTTGATAACCCACCTCGTTGGGTTCAATTTATTAAGGGGTCGTCCATAAATGACGTCACTCGATTTTGGACGATTTTTGCCCCCCCCCCCCTCGTCACGCGGCGTCACAAAAAGTCAGACCCCTCCCCTCTAAAATATAACGTCACAAAGCTCTGCCCTCCCCCCCAATAATTATGCTTCAAATCGCTTTAAACTATTGTCATTGTAGTGCGTATTTAATGTGGCGCTGCACTCTGATGTTGTCGGAGAAAACATTTATTAAAAAGTATATTTAATTAAGTAGAACGTGTTGTCTATATTCATTTAAAGTTGCGCATTTTGATGTGACGTCACGTTTCTCACCCCCCCCCCCCTCGTCACACATCGTCACAATTGTCTGACCCCCCCCCCCCCCTAGGTGCGTGACGTCATTTATGGACGGCCCCTAAGTCACAATTATGTTCAAGTCTAGAATCACAATTGTGTTTTTAACTGACATCTCTCATCCACACACAGTATTCCTCTTGTAGTATATCACCCTATTTATGCTTGGAATAGAATGGCAAACTCCAACATATTTCACAGGATGTTGATAAACAGTAGAACTGTAAAACAACGTAAGGTGATTAAATGGGGGTCACAAGACAGCATGACCATCCTGTCTTTACGTGTCTGTTCCGGACAAACTGCGGCCAGCTATGTAATTGCTCCACATAGGTTGTGGTATTCTGAAAAGTACCTAAAAGTACACTGCTTTTGACCACCGGTATCACAGTAGAACTGTAAAACAACGTAAGGTGATTAAATGGGGGTCACAAGACAGCATGACCATCCTGTCTTTACGTGTCTGTTCCGGACAAACTGCGGCCAGCTATGTAATTGCTCCACATAGGTTGTGGTATTCTGAAAAGTACCTAGAAGTACACTGCTTTTGACCACCGGTATCATAGGGGATTTTTGGTAGTGCATTTGAAAGTACAATACGTCTTATGAATTATGTATGCAACCATGTTTATTTTTATTCCTTCTGAGGTGATGACCAGCTGAGATATTGTAACTGAGAAGTGGAAAACGAGGGAATCGTCGGTGGAACTGAAATACTGGCACAGAAATACAGGGCACACATTTGCACTGTGTGTTGTTCCACAGCTTTAACTTTTTCCCTTAATTTCCCAGCATTTCCCTTAATGTAAATACAATCTTTTCAGTTTTGTTAATCCACTACTGGATGAGCCCCCCCCCCCCCAATATACTTTCAGTCATGGGGGTGGGGGGTGGGAGTTTGACCATACTGCACCACACTGGTAGACTGGGTTTGTGAGTGGATTGAATCAGAATCTTTGATTGAGGTGGGGGCAGGCATGAGTCAAAAATCAAACGGAGGAAATGTATGTTGGGTCACAGCCTGTGTGCTAACCAGTGGCATTGCTCCATCCCAACCGCCCTCTTCCTTACTGTGAAGTGCTTTTCCCTAAACGGCAGTGACATTGACAAATGTGTTGAGTGTTCATTGTTGTCGGTTGTTTTCGTGCTCCACTGCGAAAACAGCCCTCGCTGAATATTGTATGGGACCTTTTTTTGCTGGTATCAAAAGAATGAAAAATAGGCTTTATTTATCATTTCTGGCAATTATACAGGAAGTGTTTCGATGTTAAAACACAAAATACCGTAGATACATATCGCAAGGAACCAAGTCTGCATTAAACTACACATGCTTGTGAGAAAACGTGCAGTTTGAACGACGGTGCATACGTTATGACGTTCTGAACCGCCCTGCTGGACATCTGTGAAATAACTTCATAGCTCATCGGATTTCTCCAGGATAAATGAAAGTATGTTTGAGATGATTGGACACCTTCACAAAGCGGACTCTTGCAACGGCAACACTTTATTCGGAAGCGCTCTTCTGGGCAAGCTTTCTCGTATATCTGCAACAATGACCATGGGTTTAACACGTAGATCCCTGAAGTGTGAATGTGTCGTAATCCTCCACCACCCGACACAGCTAGTAAGGTTTGTCACGTTAACAAAACGCACAAATGAGTTACTACTTCAGCCCACCGGTATGTTGGAGAGTAAATCCAGAACATTTACAATGAGATACCACATCGACCATGAGACACCACACATTGGCCCTTCGCGTTTATTTAATAGGACACACGAATAGATTTGGAAAATCGAAATTACATAGCGCTAGTTTAACACGTAGGCTTTCGCTATAGGCTTAGTGCGGCCTGGAAGCGTATTATTAAATAAGATACATTACAATTACTTATAAGGGAAACAACCACTAACTGATTACTAATGTAGCATAATCACAATAAAACACATTCCAAATGATTACTAATCTACAACTCGCATCGTAACAATAGCCTGATTACTAATCTAGTATATAATTACAATCACTCCCCCCTGGAATCTTTGCACCTGATGAGTTAATGAGTTAATGATGACGTCACCCTGCTGCTGCTCTATATAAGAACGGGAGACACAGGAGAGCCTCACCATTCTGGCGAATTGCCCGATGATGCTGATTGCAATTACCAGCGAAACGGCGTACTCAAATTGTAAATGTTGTTGCTTCAACACACCGGTGGGCTAAAGCAGTGAACTATTTGTCTTTGTCAACGTGACACATTTTTACTGATTGGCCGTGTCGGGTGGTGGAGGGTTACGACACATTTATAAATAAACGCGATCTAAACCCAAAAATCGTTGATTATGAATACATAGCGCTAATTTGTGCCAACAACTCTTGAGCGTTTACAGTTACAAGATTTCAAATTTATCAGAGGTTAATTGCGAAAATCTGAACTCGTTTGGGTTTTAAACCTCCTCTCGCCTTTCCATACCTGTCAACCCCGTATCAGTGCCTACCTATTTACAGACCAATTTAGATCTTATTGGTCACAACTTCCCTTATAAATCTCAATGTTCATCCTACAAAGTCCCATCACAATGGAGAAACTCAAATACATTGTGAAGCCCGTTTTGAAACGGCTGTATGTCGTATGGACCTGAAAACTCAATTTCCCTGTTCAAGAATACGGGGTAAACCCTATCGGCTTCACAGCTATGCATTTGTAGTGTAGCACAAGTCGGAGACGTGGTACTTGCAGGATGCACCTTCTTTTATTGTAACACCCTTTGGTCGTTCACACACAGGATCGCCTCCTTTCTCGCTCCCGTTGCCGTACAACCCAGCCCAGACTCAACCCTAACCGCGTTGCATCGACGGCATCGACCGAGACAGCCAACAACTGTCCGGCCGCACAATTATCGAGTGAAGGCGGCAGCGACGAAGGCGGCGAAGACGACAGCGGCGACGAGACGAGTCCATTCCCAGAACCGGCAGCCTGGAGCTCTCGCTCTCCGCTGCTTTTATTCTACTTGGCGCGGCTGGCGCCTTCTTTCTTGAACTCACTAGCGGGTTCCAGGAGCTTCCCAGTGAGGTCTTTTGTGACCCTTGCCCAGTTCCTCAGCCCTGCCGGCACACCCGTGTATATGCTCGCCGGCGTGTGCGCTAACTGTTGGACAGCAGTCTGCGCTATGTCACTACACATAAGTATTTGGCTGCTATAAATATCCACGTGATAAGGCACTTCGATGGGCTATTATTTGTGGCCGGGTGTCGCTTCTGAAAAACGGAGCTATAAAGCTCGGTGGGCCTCACCCGGTAGAGTAAAAAAAATAGTTTTGTATGCTGGACATCTGTGAAAAAGAGTTTCAAACTCATCCAATTCCTCCAGTTCAAATATTACGATTATTTAGATAGATCTTATCACATCATGGGACCTCCTTTGCCAGTACCAAAATATGAGAATAGGTTTTCCCCTTTTTTCAACGGTTTTACTTAACTTGGCTCCTGTGTCGTGGTCAAATCTTGTAATCTACATTTCGTCCACTTCCCGTTGTCGAATCAATTCAAAATTTTGCACACGTACTCAGATCCGGTGACAATGCATGCCTGTATCAAAATCGACATTTTGTAGGGACGCCTTATTATTTATATATATATTTGTGTAGGTAAAAAACTCTGCGGTCCCTTAACTCTGGAATTGCCTCGCCCAAGAAGCACGCGCCACGTGTCTCAGGCGCGCCTGCTCCGTGTGAACGAGTTACGGGCACCCTCACTCCACACAAACAAAAGTTGTACATTGAAGATTAATTTATAAAGTAATCAATTAACTAAAGTAAGCCTTGATGTGGGAGCAAGCGCCGCATGATTGACGTACTTCTCGACCGTGAGTTAAACGAAGTTGTTAATAAAACAATTTTTTTAAGGAGTTTATTCTGGCAACAAAACAGGTGTTAAGATGTTAAAACACCAAACTGAAACCTTTTCCAAGGAATCATGTCTGCATTAACCACAATACTTGTGGTCAGAATGCAAACAAAAAACAACACTCTGATAACATATGCATTGTCTTTGAAACTGATTGGTCCACACCAGAGACAGCTTTCTTTTGAGCCTCCTAAAAAGCATGAAACCCTCTTCTCACAATTCGTAACACGTCACGCACCTGGATAACTGTGGATGACGTCACTCACGTAAACAATCTACAGTTCTACACAGTGCGTACAAAGTGGCGACATTGCGTCACGCCCGCACATTGGTCGTGACGTCATATTTCGCTTCCTTTTTAATCGCGCGCGCGCGCGATTGGTCACGCCCGCACATTCGTCGTGACGTCATATTTTGCTTCCTTTTTATCGCGCGCTCGCGATTGGTCGAGAGCGACTATTAGGACCACGTGGGCTGCGAGTTTGGGGGGGTGGGGGTGTGGGGTGAGAATAGAAACTAACCAATCGCGCGTCGAGGAGAGCCGCTGCCCGCCTGTGCGGACTGGGATATTAAAAGCACGCGGGCGGACGCGGCGTAGGCTCATTTGGCGGAGACAAAGCGAACGTGGGGAGCGGAGGCTGTAAGGTAACGAGCTGCCCCCCCCCACACACACACACACATCGCCTTGTTTTGCTGCTTGTATTCGTTTACGTGACGAGCGGATGGTTATGGGTCGTACAGCAGCGAGGTCTTGGTCCCCCCTTCCGTTCGGATACGGTGCTTCTATGAGTGGAAGGTGTAGCCGAGGTGACATTGGTCACGGCATGGCTTGTACAGTGTGTTTACAAGTATGCCAAACGCTTAGTCGATGCTTTCATCGATCGTGTGCCTATTCTCGTTTTAAAAAAATATATAAAGTAATGTAACGTCGCTCAAGCAAAGTTCGTTGAAACATCCTTTATTATTGTTAAGCCCCCTTTAATGCAATCGTGAATATACTGTACGAGATACGTTTCGCCGTTTAATCTTCCCAAGTGTTAAAATAAAGTCGTCGTGTCGAACCGACGTGTAACGCAACTGATTGAATCGACAGATCCGCTTTACGCGCGAATTATTGAGTTAGGGACCTTGCAGTAAATTTGGCACTTGACCTTTTGCCGTGCATTTGTGCTCGTTTTATTTTTAAAGTCTCCTTTAATTCGACATTTTAACGCTTCACAACCTCCCCACACACAACAACAAGATGGACGGAGTTGCAAGATGGAGGCACGCGTTAGAATCCGTAGCGCGGATGCGCGCGCCCTCCGCTTCTTCCCCGCTCCTCATTGGTCCCACCGTACCCCCACGTGACGCACGCGGAGCCAATGGCGTTGCTCGTTAAACACGCGGCTTGCCTGTGCGAGCTAGGGAATGTAAAGCGTGAGGGGTGCACGTGAAGCCCTCCTGGCGCAGTTGATATTGCAATGGGCCCCATGTGCGTGTTGGGATTGTTGTAAATAAACTTGCTCTTAAAGGTTCTGAGTTGTAAGTTGATATATGGAGGGGATTATCACGAGGCTCGCTCTCGCACCTCGGGCTGTGTCGAGGTTAATGTCACTTTATGGAAGTTGGGCAGCTCGTAAGGGCCGACATTTGCTTGAATTTTTAAGTAAAGATTTCCTCCCGCACTGTAAAATAACAAGCCATGTCCAGCTGTGGCTCAGGCCATAAATAAGTCGTCCGTCTATTAACGGCGTGTCGGCATGGGTTGTCGTTTGATCCTACATCGTCACCCTGGATATGAAAAGTTATGTCCATGCGGCCGGGTTCATATGGGGCAGCGTGTCAATCATTGCGCCATCGCGACCATATTGCCATTGTACGCACGGAAATTATCGTCATTTAAGTGCAACGAATTTATCGATTGGTTTATTTTACGAAACGCAAACCATTTGTTTGAAAAGTATCCGGTTCCCCTCCTTTGCCACAATTAAGTTATATAACTCAAGTGCAGAGTGACACCCACAGATTAATGCAATGACGTCAAGAATACAGTATTACACTGCAGAATAATATCGGGTTTTTTAGACCTTAACAGTATAACATTTCGTACGATTTTACATTCGTGTCCGTTATGTTAGTCGAATTTACAACAAATTTTAACCTAGATAAATGCGTTTGGGCAACTCCACATGCCAGTAGGCCGTAATAATACTAAGCTGGTGTTAGCAAATAAAATGACTCCCATGTTCTCGGGGTAGTAAATATCCCAACGGTCAATACACATGAAGCAATGTTCCTTGCACAACTTTTATCCAGACTTAAGAAATTAACACATTGTAAGGAATTATGATAATAAATGCTCGCTTTGGAATATCTTGACAATTTATGAACCAATGTATGTTGGGATGCAAGCTGCATTGGCATTACTTATTTTTTCTACTTACGTGACTTTACCGAAAGAGCCAAAGAGTATTACTTGTAACCTTACAGCATATGGCTTATGGTTTTCTAACCTCCTTGTTTGTTTTGTTTCCAGGATTTTCATAGGTTAGTCTTGTGCCAGCTGTTAAACATGAGTTCATCCAGTCGAGTTTTCATTGCGCGCCTGGGGCCACATGTCAGGACCAAGGATGTGGAGAAGTTTTTCAAGGGCTACGGAAAGATCCGAGACATTGACATCAAAGCAGGGTTTGGGTTTGTGGTAAGTTGACGAAGTCGTTGTGGGTGGAACAATTGTAGCAGGTATTTTATCAACTTGCAGGCAACAGAGTGCAGCAAAGTCCATTGTGCTCTCAATGTCTGTGCTCCCTGTCTTCAACCCGCACAGAATGGCGCAGTGAAGTATGGTCTAATAACCCCCGTGGCCCGCACTTTGTGTGGAGGCCAACAGCGGAATAACAGAGCTGTGCCTGTACATTTTCTAACAGCGTTGCAATCGCTAAAATATAGTAAAAAATGTTGCTTAAAATAACTTTTGTTTAATATTCATCTTTTATTATACAGCATGTCATGCACCAATCATCTAAAATCTGCATGTTTGTCTTTTACAGGAATTTGATGATTGCAGAGATGCAGATGATGCAGTCAGTGACCTGAATGGCAGGGAGCTAAACAATGAAAGGTTTGTTTATTGCTCTTATCTTGTAGATGGATATTGGACTATATAAAGTTGCCTCGTGTGATGGTGTCTCAACAGTGAAAGTTGCTGTTGTATGTCAATAACTGGCATTTTTTTTTTATTATTCCATGGAGCAATAGACCCTGATTCAGTAGGGGCTTTCTTGGTTTTGAAGAATGACAGAGGCATTTGTATTGCTTGATTGGTCAACTTGGGAGTCGGCCTAAGCAAACAGTACTAGTTCAAATATGGAAAGAGGTTTAGCTCTGACCATTAACTTGTTAGGCTTCCATACAGCTCATTAAACACTCGTGAAGATAAAATAAAGCATTCAGGTGCTTGCTGTTTCCTAACTCATACTCTTAGGTTTTTTCGGTAAAGTTACGTAGGTAAAAAATAAAGTAAAAAATTAATGAAAGTAATAATAGAAATAAAATAATAAATCACGACGTTTTGGAGGCAACACACAAGTCTCCGTCATCAGGTGGGACCGTCACAGCTAGATTTACTGTATTAAGTATCAAGTAAATCTAGCTGTGACAGTCCCACCTGATGACGGAGACTTGTGTGTTGCCTCTGAAACGTGATTTATTATTTTATTTCTATTATTACTTTTTTAAATTTAATTTTTTACCTACGTGACTTTACCGAAAAAACCTAAGAGTATGAATCCTGGCAGTCACGAAAGCTTCAAATCTAGAATGTTTCCCAACTCGCTTTTGTTTGGTAGAATGACAGTGGAACACGCTCGTGCTCCCCGGGCTCGCGGAGACCGCATGGACACGTTCGTGCGCCGGCCCTCGGGCCCTCCGCCCACCTACCGCCCTCGTGGAGGAGGCGGAGGAGGAGGAGGACCATCGTCCAGCTCTGCCAGGTAATGACCATCATTTGTTCCCTCTTAAGTGGTTTTGTGTTTATTTTGCTGTCGTCCCCGCTCCCGCATCTCCGATTAGAACGGTTGGCGACGTACGGTGTGACAGAAGTTATATATTACAGTGTAATTTCTTTTTATCCAAGTCATCGTGGGTAATATGCTCTTATTCAATTGGGTGCACCTGTAATGTGGCATTTTATTATCAAATGCCATATTCTCAAAATCACTCCCACCCTGCTCTTTTCGAAATTTTAAGAAATATAAACATTACCATTATGTATACGTATTAAGCCTTGTTTTACAATGTTGTCCCTCCACCTATTTGTTTCATTTGCGTAGTTTACCCATCTATACATCTTTTAACAAGAAGATCTAGAGTGACGTTTCAGGTTTGTGATTTTTGATTGTGCTGGTTTTCTTACAGTAGTGGTGGCAGATATGGACCTCCAAGCAGGACCGATCATCGCCTGGTTGTCGAGAACCTGTCTTCTACTGTCAGTTGGCAGGTATAACTAATTGTCGAACGATTCTTTGAATTTTAGAAATGTTTGAAACTTAAGAAATATTGCTAAATGTAACTATGAACTTTGTAATTAAAACATGATTGCTTTAAAGATGAAGAAACAATAATTTTATTAGTATTTATGAAATACTGATTTTTGTGTTTGTGAAGTGCATTTAATGTAAAATGTGAAAAGTGTTATATTTTTGATTGATGACATGTGATTGTAACCAATGTTTTATAACCCTTTTACCTAGCAGCCTCGCTCTGCATGGCTGCGCTAATTTGCAGGTTTTTCGCTAAAATGTGTCGGATCCACCGGGCAAGGGTCGTGCGGGTCGTTGGTTTGGCCACGTCGCTGTCGCGGGGTTGGTCCGATCAGGGTCTCCAGAGGTCCACAAATTGCTCCTAGTCGGATGGCGTCCCGAGCAGCGGAGAGGATCGTGCCTAGCGTTACTGGAGTCGAGAGGGGCCTTTGCCTGGGTCTGCTCGTGCGGTTCGAGGTGGTTTCTGGCTCCTTGCTGGCATTCCGGCCGGCGGTAACGGGCAGAGTAACGCGTCATCCGGCGAGGCGGCGTCCCCGAGGAGCAGAGTCCCTCTCCCGCGGGCGAAAGTGCGTGTCTTCGGTCAAAGGGGTCCTTCGTGTCATACGTGCTCGTGTCAGGCTAGTGGTGGTCCGTTGGCCATCCGGAACCTCTTTGTGGTCCTGTCTGGGTATGACATCCACATAATGTTTTTTTTATTAAACTTCTTGCTCTCATACAATTCTAACAATTGCATTTTTCATGTAAATTTTTGTGCAATCATTAACATGCTGAAACACATTTCTCTTTGATAAATGTGATTTTGATGGGAAATGTTTTGGCCCAGTGTCAAATACAGAGAATTTGAGCATCTTGTGTGGTGTCATTGCAGGATTTGAAGGACTACATGAGGCAGGCTGGCGAGGTCACCTTTGCTGATGCTCACAGGATTCATCAAAATGTTGGGTAAGTGGTCATAGATGGATTAAAAATAATACAATTTCAGTTGCCATAACGTCTTGGCATAAGGTGATAAATTATGAATCATTTTTTTTATATTAATATTTCATTTTTTGTCTTTCTACAGAGTGGTGGAATTTGCTACAAGAAATGACATGAAGAATGCTATTGACAAGCTTAATGGAAAGGAGATTAATGGAAGAAAAATAAAGCTTGTTGAAGAAAACAAACGCAAGAGGTACGTATTGAACCTTGCATTTATCAGAACATTGCCGTTCACAGACGAATGTAAGATTTATAACATGGAGTTGTGGTCGGTTATCGTCGGCTGACACCTTGTGTATTTGTGTGCGATTCTTGTGCAGCTCTCGTAGCCGCTCCCGCTCGAGCAGATCTTCCCGGTCTGATAGCCGCTCCCGGTCGCGCTCCCGCAGCTCCTCGCGCTCCCGCAGTCCCCGACCATCCCGTCGCTCCCCACCAACCCGGCGTTCCCGGAGCCCCCAACCGGCAAAGCGCTCTCGCAGCCCTCCGCCGAAGCGGGGGAGTGGCAGCAGATCGCCCCCCGCCGCCGACCAAGCGAATAATAAGCCGAAAAGTTTGACTGTTCCGTCGCGTTCCCGCTCTGCTAGTAGTGGAGAATAGTTTTTGAGTGTGTGGTTGTGAGCAGGGGGTTGCTTGTGTGTGGGTTATGTACATTTCGGGGTCTGTATTCTGAGCACTATGTTTAGGTTGTTGGAGTCGATTCACACGAGACAATTTCCTGATATCAAAACATGCAGCAAATGTCAGCGCCTCCTTAACAATGAACCATTTGAAAATGTTTTCCTTAGAAGTAAGTAGGCCTGGTATTCGGTCCAGTTTCATATTTATAAAGTAAAAATATGAATTGACATTTTTAAATATCCCTCCAGACAAACTGATGGGTAAATATTAACATTGTTCATTGCAAAGAGCTGTTATTTGCTGCATTAAAGGCGACATTAACCTGGAATTTTGTACAGATTCTTGTTTTGGTATAATTTTCTTTTGTGAATATGCCAGTAGATATTTGACATGTACGTCAGTGGATGCGTTTGTGCATCGCATGCACATAACTCCTTGAGTTATTGCCGTCGCATTTTTTATTAACACAATGTTATTTGTGTATATTTTCATTTATGAATAAAAGTGCATGCGTCAACTGTAAAAAGTTAACCTTGCCTCTCTGGTCCTGTTAATTATTAAGTCTTGTAGTTTTATAATTTTGATTTACAAAATGTTAATAAAGTCAATTACATTCCTTTTCATGTGTTCTGTCACGTGAGTGGTGCACAAGTAATGGAGCGAAAGAACCAAACTTCTTTGTGGATTCTATCTTGATTAGAAGCTTTCGTGACTGCAGGATTTCATACTCGGGTTCTTTCGGTAAAGTCACGTAGATAGGAAAATAAATAATAGACGTGATCAACCAGGTAAAGTGCTAACTGTTGAGTTAGCCGACTTGCGTTGCATTACATTTCTAAATTTTCTTAAGTGTACCTATGCTTCCTTGTCACATTTCTCTTTCACACAAGCCCTCTTTGCATTGTATCCCCACCCTCTCGCCCCTTTGCGGCCTCCCCTCTATATAATGCCTTGTAACAGAGGCATGTTTCACCTGAGGACGATTGCTTGTTGCGACCGAAACGCCGTGATTTATTTTCCTACGTTATGTGTGGATTACAATTTGAAATTCAATTCGATGCTGTGAAAAATGTCCAAAGACCGTACAAGCTCGTGAAAAATTGGGAATGCCCCCACATTTCCTTTGCATGAACTAAAAGCCAAACCAATTTTTATGGGTGCGGGGTTAAAATGGCTCCAGCAAAATGTGACGTTTTATTTTCCAAGCCAAGCGTGTTGCCACCCATAGACACGGTCAATGAGGGATTCTTGAAAAAAAAATATTTTCTCTGTCTAGTTTAACCTTTAATGTTAGCTACCAATGTGGTTTGGGACGGAAATTAGGATAAAATGGCTAGTGTTTAAGCATTTGATTTATTACAATTAAATGCACATTGGTAAAAAATTAAGACCTCTAGTCTTATGAATACACAGGAAACTTACGTTAAATTACCACTAGGTGTCACTAAACAGTCTATTCAAGTAACTTAAATGGTAAGAATATGGTATTTGTCAGTACGGTAATTTCGGGATTGGTATTTTCTTCCATCTCGGGTTGAATTCTTAAAACATTGGAATTCACAAGAGCCGGTAATGAGATGTGTATTTTTCTTGCAGGACAATTTTAACTTTTTCACAACCTTACAAACACCTTTTTAACTGTAATCAAACTTAATTAAACCCAATTCAATCAACTTAAACGGACAATTCAACAGGAAGTTAAAAGAGGCAGGAGAAAAAAACTCCCCTGTTCCTGTTGCCATGTCCTCTCCAAATTAAAAATTCCAAACTCGGCTCACGTGAGGGTATTTTAAGATACACATTAGCAAGAATGGCAATGTCATCTTGACCTACTGTGGTCCCTGTTATGTTTTGGTTGACATTTTTCGTCCATATCGACACGTTGCTACGTTTGACGGATGGGCCATACATTTGGCAGCCGTTAGTAAAAATACCCCACATTTTGGGTTGCTGAGCCTTGGAAACATTGCTGTTCTAAGAGAATGTGTCGAGCACACCCATTAGTTCTGCCACTGTCGTTGTGCAGAGCGCATTCATGTGTTAAGATAATGTCGAATGCATTCCCCAGTCAATTGATACAATAATTGTGGATATATTTTGTTTATACGCATCAATATTCCATAATGGGTTATGCAAGTTGCTTTACAGGCTTCAGTGCCACTGCTCCTTTCCCCTCGGTCTGGTGAAAAGGCTTGTGTTCAACTAAATTCTAATGGCTAAAGTTAACGGAGCAAAGTGACCTGCATGGGTAATGGCCCAGTCTCCTCTTGCATTATGTATGGGCAAGTGTTCATTTCTTATTATAAATATTTCGCAAAGATGCACAATAGTGAAGTGACATCTGCATTCATGTGCCCATAATATAGACGACAGGATCTGTCGGGTGGTGTAACAAAGATTTCGTTTGTTATGTCATCGTAAGAAATGCAAGAAGTCACTTCTAATTCTTAACTTATTTCAGCCTTGCTGTTATCTCTCCACACTTTGTCTTTAGAGTACACTACACTTTCTCAAGCAATACAGCAATGTATTTTCTTTCGTGGTTTTTAGACGTTTGGATTTTTGAAATCGTTATCAATTGAATTTTACTGGTAGGAACCACCTGGTTCCACCAGCCCACGGGATTATTGTGTCCGTCCGTCGTGCATTCAATAATGGAAGGGGTGGGGCTGGGTGGAGAGGGGCTGGGCGGGGAGGTGCTGGGTGGGGAGGTATGGGTGGGGAGGGTGGGGCTGGGTGGGGGGTGGGAGGGGTGGTGCTGGGTTGGGAGGGGCTGGTCACCCCGTGGTGCCCTTATAAAACTCAACGTTGAACCTACTCACGCCGGCTTGTGCCCGCCCTCACAGTCGGGCATATTTGCGGAATACACCACGCCGCCGTTGACTCGCCATTGACCGAGCAACCCAACGTTCCTACCAGCTCCCTCCGCAGGAATGTGTTGTTAAATAGTGATTTGTCCACTTATGGACGACAAATGCACGTGCAAAATGCAAACTACACATGGGTGGGACAGTGGTTGGCACACTGCACTTATAACCTGTTCAGACTGGCAAACAAGGGACTTTGAGCTCTGGCTCCACACCTCCGAATTTTCGATCGAGCAATGCGTCTGATGTGTAAAATATGTACGCGCTATACCTTTGTGTTTATTAATAACATGCAGTGGCTAGCTTGGTGATGTATGATCAAACAGCAGTGGATTTTAGAAGCTGTCATTTATTACATGTCAGTATACGAGGCTGTTTCAATCAGTAAAGAGGGTTCAAAAATATACCACATAGTTTCCTACTTGAAGCAGGTTCCCCCCCCCCCTCCTATTTTTTAATCTTGCAAGTAAAAAAATAAGCAGATTTTAATTATAACTAACACCGAAATTGCCTCCGCGTGGCATTTGTGAGCATTTAACAAGCATGCAGACGAGAGAAAAGAGATCCAGTCATTGCTTCTGTTTGAAATGACACATCTGCACTCCATCTGTGCTAAAACACTACAACTTTAAACTGAAAGTTAAACTCGCACATATTACATTTACTATAAAAAAAATCTACGCCGTGAAAATATATCCACATCCCTTTGTGTTCACTTGTTAAAAACTACAAAGCATTTTCAGCAAATGGTTCAGATTACTTATTTATAGTGAAATGCATTAAACATGAATTATCAGTATGCTGCACACCGTCTTGTTTTGAGGTATGGTTGTATTCCTGTGCTGTGTGAACACCCTGTTTGGAACAGAATGAAAGACATACCAATTACATTTTGTTGAAACGACATTACCTCCCGAACATTTTTGAGATGCAGCACAGGCACAAATAGCACGAGGAAATAGAGGTGATGTTTCAGGAAATTGCACGTCTTCATACATCATAAACTGATCATAAAGGTGTTCTGGCTGGCATGGGGGAACACCTTCATCCAGCAGTGGAATGACCATGGGCTCTAAACCAAATGTAGCAATGCAATGCCTTTCCTAAACACAAGTGATGGGGTTTTTGTTGAAATAATTTCCATCACTTGTATACAGTCGTGAAATTGCCAGATGTCGAGTAGTCATGTGATATCACATTTCTTAAAACATTTTAGATGAGCAGGCAAAATTATCTTCTTGGTTCTTTTGGTAAAGTCACGTAGAAGGGAAATAATAAAATAATGGAAAAAAAACCAATAAAATAATTTTCACGACGTTTCGGCCACAACGCAAGCAGCCGTCCTCAGGTGAAGACCAGGTCTACGCGACTTTACCGAAAGAACCAAGAAGATGAATCCCTGCAGTCACGAAAGCTTTAAATCGAAATTCAGGCAAAATTAATTATACTTACGGACATGAACACGCAAATGGCATTGACATCACAAGAAAAGTTATGTTTATTTTATGTTAAATGTATCTTCATAACATACATTTATATCCCATTCTGTCAATCCACTGTTCGACGAGGGCTTCCTCATGCACGCATGTGTAGTGGCATAGCGCTGGCTGCTGGCGGAAAAGGGTAACTGCGGCGTATGGCAGTACCCACGTCAGCAAGCCAAGACAGACACGAGAGGGGGGCATCTAAAGGGTAAAGGTCACAGAGGGGGGCCCATCGGGAACCCTCGGGAACCCGCTGGTAGGTTCCAGAAAGGGGGCGTGGTCTGGGCGGAGCGAGGCCACGCTGGGGGTATAAGAGGGGGCCCTGTGGGGGACCTCGTGGCTGTCGCTGGAAGTGGGATCCCAGTCCTGCTGTTCAAGATCGTCGTCGTTACCATCTCGTCGCCATCGTAGCTGCCGTCTTCACTCGATATTGCGCTGCTAGATGGTTGTTGGCTGTCTCCGCTCAGCGCCGTCAGTTCTTAGATAGTCAGTGTTGTGTATAGGTTAGCAACAGTAATAGTGTGTACCCACGTAGGGTGTGTATAGGCTAGCAACAATAAGTGTGTACCCACGTAGTGTGTATAGGCTAACAACAGTAATAGTGTGTACCCACGTGGTGTTGTGTAGAGGTTAGCAACAGTAATAGTGTGTACCCACGTAGGTGTGTATAGGCTAGCAACAATAAGTGTGTACCCACGTAGGGTGTGTATAGGGTAGAAACAATAAGTGTGTACCCACGTAGTGTTGTGTTTCGGCTAGCAACAGTAATAGTGTGTACCCACGTAGGGTGTGTATTATCCCGATGTTGCTCGTTCAATAAAAGTGCCTCCAAGTCTTACTGTCTCCGAGTTAGTCACTACACATGTGTGTGCGGGGTATTTGACAAGACATTGGTCAGTGTGAATTGGTGAAGGTCAGAGACATCGATATAGGGGCATAGCGCAGTACTACAATTCATGTTCCTGCAATGCCACCTGTTGAGAAGGAAGCCCCTCCAGCAGCTTGCAACAGCTGTTTATGCACGAGGGACGCCCATCCAAGCGCTGCTTCGCTTCCAAGATCTGATGAGATCTGGCACTCTGTGATTTTGTCATCGGCTCATAACTCGCGTGCTTTTGATGGAGTGAAGAGCAGATTTTTTTCTGGAAAGGGTGATCCCTGAAAACGAATGTTTTACACAATCCCTAACAAATTCTGACAGTATAGCTGGACAACTCTCATTTTAAAGCAGATCTGTCGAGCTCTCCTTTAAAATTAATTATCTTGG